TTCCTTAACTGATCCCAGGACAGTGGGGTTTCTTGTGATTTGTATATGTAATTTTTAAAAGGGCTGACTTATAATTTTGAGCCTCATTGCTTTTATTTTTTACTTGTGAATCTGCACACTGCATTTATACATTTTGTATCTAAACTACAACAAAACTTTTTTACAAAGTACAAATATATATTTATCACCTGCAGGTAACAAAGTGTTTTCAAGTACTTTTCAAGTTTCAAATGTGTTTACCTCAGACTGCTGTTCATCTTTTTTATATTTTGATATCTTAATTGTCTCAGATCATGAATTTGCAATCTTCTAGTGTAGGTGGCATCATTTTTATATGTACTTGTTACTTTTTTTTTAGGAGTTTTTTTGCAGGTGGCATGGTGGTTAAGGCAGTGGACACTCTCATGTGGCCGACCACGGTTCGATTCCCAGACCTGGTATCTTACTTTCTCACTTTCCCTCTCTCTGTGTCTCTCTCTGGTCACATTAAAATAAATAAATTAATTATTTTATTTTATTTAAAAAACAATTATTTTTAAAAAGAGAGAGATTTTTGCTATAGGGTGTGTACACTTTCTGGAGAAAGAGAGACAGACAGAAAGTGAGACATCACCCTCCAGGGGTGATGGCCATGCCATAATCCCTTCTCCATTCTCCTCTCAGGATTTTGGGCATGCATGCATACGTACCCAGTGTGTTTTAAACTTTCAGGTGCAGGATTCGAACCACGGCCTATGACATGGAAGTCCAGCGATGTAACCATTACACCATCTGCTGGTCCCATGTTACTTGTCTTTTGTAGCTATATTCTGTACAAATTCTTGAATAAAAAATTAGATACTTTCTTCACTAATATCTTACAAAAGAGGGAAGGGGCACCTAGTTTGGGCCATTTGTATGTTGAAAGTCACTTTGCCCCTTGAAAAAGAGTGAAAGTTATACAACATGAAGTATCAAGGTATTATCTGCTCTTCAGTCAGACTCATTTGATATTCCTGAGGCTTTGTGTTAACAGGGCTCAGAATCGGCATTATTTCTGTTCATGGAACTTCACTTAAAATTTTATTTTTCAATAATTGGTGTTTATTTGGCACAGCAATATTATCTGTTTGGAAATGGCAACTTTATAATATATTTAAGTGAACTTCAGAACTATGGACATGAAAAAAATTATAGCTGGGATTTAAATCATCGTTATCTGGTAGCAAATAGGTTTGTCAAGATTCTGATAAAGCAGTATTATAAAATATTTGAGTTGTACAAACTATTATACAAATAGTTTATATTGGGTATGAATTTTTATGTTTGATAATATTAGATCTCTTAAAAGCTTTGTATAACTTGAGACTTTTGGTTCAAATGAATTTTTTAAAAAGTCTAAGGATAGGCAGGCAGGTGGCATGGGGGTTAAAGGCACTGGACTCCCACATGGCCAACTGTGGTTTGAGTCCCAGACCTGGTGGCTTGTTTTCTCACTTTCCCTTTCTCTCTCTCCCCCTCTCTGATCAAACTGGAAAATAATAATAATTAATAAAGTTAAATTCAAAAAAAATTTTTTTAAGTCTTGAGAAAAAACTTGCGTGGAGCAGAGAAGATAATTGTTCAAAATTGGCAATCAGACTATCCACCTACCTACTCATCTTTCTAAATAACTAAAGCCTGGATTCTTTACTCTTGCTAGAACTACATGATGATGAAGAGCTTCTTACATAAATGCTGGGTCCTGGCATTAAAAAAGGGAGGGGCATTAAAAATGATCCAACCTTGTATTTTTATAGTGAGAACACTCTTTGCCCCTCTTAATCTTACCAGATCTCTAAAGAGTTCTACTGCTGCTAACTTAATCTTATTCAGAGAGGCTAAGAGTTTATTAACCTGTAGATCAGCTATGTAAGATCTTAAGCTCAGAGTTAGCCACTGAAGGTCTTTTTCTTAAGTGGGGTTATTTATAGTTGAAATCTCAATAACAGGTAATATTCTGTATAATGCTGTACACCACAAGTGATCATCTTTAAGTGTAAATTTAAAGGGACCTCTATTAGCAAATTTTTAAAAACATAGAAAACAAATCATTTGAGGCAGCTGACAGTGAAGTGCAATGAGACTATCACTGAACAGACAAATCAATTGTATCAAAAATACAGCTATAGGCCATTTTGTGGACGCTGGGGGAGCGAGAGCATCTGTGGGAGCTGGGTGAAGGGAGCGGGCCGTCCTATCGGATCTTGTGGATTTGGGCCTCTGCATTTCGAATTTAAGATTTTGAAATGCATCATGACTCCTGTCCATTGGACTGTAAGGTTTATGTGGGTAATCTTGGAAACAACGGCAACAAGACTGAATTGGAACGGGCTTTTGGCTATTATGGACCGCGCCAAATGTGGGTTGCTAGAAACCCTCCCGGCTTTGCTTTTGTTGAATTTGAAGATCCCCGAGATGCAGCTGATGCTGTCCAAGAGTTAGATGGAAGAACATTGTGTGGCTGCCGTGTGAGAGAGAACT